AATAAAAATAATACAGGCACATTATTAACATTGAACAATGGAGAGAAAACAAAACTCCCTGATATGCATATATCAAGGAATGAAACTTGTTTTCCATATTCCCTTATATATATATATATATATTAGGATCAGGCCATTTGTAAGTGCGACAATAAGGGAGTGTCTGGAACTCCCCTGAAAGTGAAATAAAGGTATCCAGGTAGACCATGTCACGAGATCAGCCTTCAGTATCAGCTTGATCAAAACAAAACTTAAGCTTAACAACAGCAACCCAAAAGTCCCACTGCTTTGGTTGATAAATTCTCTGTTTCACATAGTTTAAATACTTGTAAGGTAAAGTTATTTTCTTCACAAAACTTTATTAAAGGGAACAGAAAACAGACATGAAAACAAGATATACTGTAATTAAAAGGAAGTGGCAGTGTTTTTCACATGTTTGTGAACAGTCACATGAGTGAACTTCAGGGACGTGCACAGGTACGGGATATTGTTGCCCGGGCAACGGCCCGTTTCCCCTTTTTGGCTGACCTGCCCCTCTGGAGAGAGCGAGAGGTTTTTTTTATTTTTCTGTTGTGGTCGAATCAACATGATAAGCCCACAATTAGTATTGTAGTGTCTCGCTGCGGGAAACACACCAGCTTCATTCTTCTTCGGCTGAAATGCTCCTCTCGAGCTCTGTTCCTAAATATCTATAGACCACCCAAATACTGTGCAAGCTTTTTTGATGACTTTACTGAACTGCTGTCTATAGTGTGTATTGACTTTGACCGTCTAGTCATTGTTGGTGATTTTAACATCCATGTTGACAACCCCCAGGACAGAGGGGCTAAAGAACTATTTTGTGTTCTTGATAGCTATGGACTGACTCAGCATGTGACGGAGCCCACGCACAATAAGGGGCACACTCTGGACTTAATTATCTCAAAGGGTCTGAATATCTCTAAGGTTGTGGTGACTGATGTTGCACTCTCTGACCATTCCTGTGTTTTCTTTGAGAGCTCTATTTCTGTTCACAAAAGTGTTCAAGAGGTAACCACAAAGCGATATTTAACTAAAGATACTAGGGAAATGTTTACTCAGAATTTTTCTTCCACACTTGCCCCTGCCAACATCTCAGTAAATGAGCTAGTAGATCATTTTAATTCAAAAATTAAAAATGTTATAGATGCCATTGCTCCAACTAAGGTAAAGGAAGTGTCTGGCAAGAAAATATCTCCATGGAGAAAGGCCATGACCGTGAAAACAGAAAAAAGAGAATGTCGAAAAGCTGAACGCAGGTGGCGAAAAACAAATCTCCAGGTTCACTTTGAAATCTATAAAGAGAGACTTGGCCTTTATAATTTGGAATTGAAAAACGCACGACAATCGTTCTTCTCTGACATCATTACCAAAAACAAAAACAACGCACGTGCCTTGTTTGCTACCGTCGACAGACTAACTAACCCCCCAGTGTCAGTAGCCTCTGAATTTCTATCCACCAGGGCATGCAATGATTTTGCCTCCTTTTTCACTGACAAAATTCAGAAAATCAGACAAGCAGTCAGTGCCTCTGCATCAGGAACAGCAAATGTGTTGTCCCTATGTCCACCTAACATCAATTGAAACACCATGACACAATTCCATCAGATTAATGATAAAAACCTAGAGGACATTATTCAACTTCTGAAATCCTCCTCTTGCTGCCTTGATATTATTCCAACAGGATTTTTTTTTCAAAGATGTTTTGCCTTGCATGGCCTCAGATCTACTTCATATAGTAAACAAATCTCTTCACTCAGGTATTTTTCCACAGGCCCTGAAAACTGCAGTCATTAAACCGCTCTTAAAAAATAATAATCTAGATGCTTCAGTAATGAACAATTACAGGCCCATATCAAACCTGCCATTTCTAGGTAAAATCATTGAAAAAGTTGTTTTTCAACAGTTGAGTAATTTCTTGCATTTAAATAACTGTTTCGATGTGTTCCAGTCAGGCTTTCGTCCAAACCACAGCACTGAGACTGCTCTTGTAAAGGTCTTTAATGACATCCACTTAAACAAAGACAGTGGCAGAACTTCAGTGTTAGTATTATTAGATCTCAGTGCTGCGTTTGACACTGTTGACAGCAACATATTACTAGACCGACTGGAAAACTGGGTGGGACTTTCGGAAACAGTTCTGAATTGGTTTGAATCCTACTTAAAGGACAGAAACAACTTTGTTTCTATAGGTAAATACACATCTGAGTTGACAAATATGACATGTGGGGTTCCTCAAGGCTCCATCTTGGGGCCTCTTCTCTTTAACATCTACATGCTACCACTGGCTCAGATAATGAAGAACAACAAAATAAGTTACCATAGCTATGCAGATGACACACACATTTACGTAACAATTTCACCAGGAGACTATGCTCCAATTCAAACACTGAGTAAGTGCATTGAACAAATCAATGACTGGATGTGTCAGAACTTTCTCCAATTAAACAAAGATAAAACTGAGGTAATGGTTTTTGGAGCCAAGTCAGAACGTATAAAAGTTAGCGCTGAGCTTCAGTCTGCAATGTTCAAAACAACAGATAAAGCCAGAAATCTAGGTGTAGTCATGGACTCTGACCTGAGTTTCAACAGTCACATTAAAACTGTTACTAAATCAGCCTACTATCACCTAAAGAATATATCTAGGATTAAAAGACTAATGTCACAGCAGGATTTTGAAAAACTTGTCCATGCTTTTATCTTCAGTAGACTCGACTACTGCAATGGTGTCTTCACAGGTCTCACTAAAAAATCTATTAGGAAGCTGCAGCTGATTCAGAACACCGCTGCTCGAGTCCTCACTAACACTAAGAAAGTGGATCACATCACTCCTGTTCTGAAGTCTTTACACTGGCTTCCTGTGTGTCAAAGAATAGATTTCAAAATACTGCTGCTGGTTTATAAATCACTGAATGGTTAAAAAATACATTTCTGACCTCCTGCTAAATTATGAACCATCCAGATCTCTCAGGTCTTCAGGGACTGGTCAGCTTTCTGTCCCCAGAGTCAGAACTAAACATGGTAAAGCAGCGTTCAGTTATTATGCTCCAAATATCTGGAACAAACTCCCAGAAACCTGCAGGTCCGCTGCAACTCTGACTACTTTTAAATCCAGGCTGAAGACTTTTCTTTTTGTCGCTGCTTTTAATTGAACTATTCATATCTTAGACTGCACTGTAACTTTTATTCATGTATTTTTTTCTTTTAATGTTTAATTGACTGCACTGTAACTTGTATCCTTGTATTTTTTCTTTTAATGTTTATTTTATTAGCTTTTCTTTTTAATGACTGATTTTAAATGCCATTTTCTTAATCTCTTTCATTTTTTGTAAAGCACTTTGAATTGCCTTGTGTTGAAAAGTGCTATATAAATAAACTTGCCTTGCCTTCTACTACTACTTCTTCTTCTTCTCCTTCTTCTTACATGTAATTGCCCGCATGGTGAACTCCCTCGACGGGGCCGCTCACTCTCTTTTCTAGATCGCCCCCTCTCTCTTCTCTTGATCGCCCTCTCTCAGAGAACACTTCACTGCCCACTTCATTGTAGGATTTCTGCCATGTCTCTACTTTAATTTGACCATCTCTGTTATTATGTTATGGAATACTAAATAAATAAGTAATTAGATACCTTACACATTACTGTGCTCATAAAGAATGATACCAATAATGCGTATTGAACTGGTTTAATTAATTAGTGAGTTTATTTAAGGTAATTATAGAAGCCCTATTTTATCAGTATGTCTGCAATGGTCAAACTACATTGAATTGTCCCCATTTTTTCTTTAGTAGTTACTAACATTAGATATTTTAATGAGATATGGACCGCAGAACCAAAAATGTCCCTGGTTTTCATTTAAAAAATCAAGTCACCGAATGCAAGTAGTTGCCTTAGCTTATTTTGTTATGAGATGATGATGTGAATTACTGTTCAAATTAGTTAATGTAATAATCGTTTTGGTCTTATATATTTTTTCGGGGGGGGAGGCCCTTTTTCCAGTTTGGAGCAATAGCCCCTCCAAATGTCTGTGCACGTCCCTGGTGAACTTCACTGTAAATGTCCTGGGAATGTCTGACATCAAGTCACTAGGCAACAGCAAAGCAAACAGCCAAGCCTGGAGGAAAGCAGTAACACGTATGAACCTAGAATCAGATACATTAAATGCACTATTCATTTGGAGCAATATGAGGAACTCAATACATATTCAGTTTTATATAACCTAGGAAACTATAGCTATGTATTCAAGTTATTTGTTATTGGCTTAAAATGTGACATGGTATGAATCAATAATGTTCACACTAATCTGATCTCACCCCCACGTACCACTTCTGGCAATACATTTTAAGACTGAAGACTTTAAAACAAAAACTACACCCTGTAAAGTATAACCTAAATAAAAAAACGTGATTTTCTTGAGTTTATCATATACATCAATACCAATTTAAATATAACAGTGCAAGAAATCCAGTTTTTAATTCTGTAAAATACATCTCAGTTCCCAACTTGTTGACATGTTATTTTGGTTAGTTTGTACTAACTATTTGTTGAACTGAACTGTTGTTTCAACATTATTCTTTACATTTCTTTGTTTTTAGTAACTCCTGACCAACGTATACTGCCCACTGCAATAACACCTACAATAAATCACCTCTGGCTGGAAGAGAACTCTCTGCTCCATAGTTTCTCTTGGAATAAAACCCCATTTTACATTTATATAATCTGTTCAATATGTAATATTAATATTCCATCTTTCATATATTTATATATATATATATAATACCTTGTTAAATTTAACATGTATATTTTCTACTTTCTTGTTTATTTCTAGTCTTTTCATTTTAATTGTACAATGCCTTGTCTTTTTATGCTGCTGTAACACAAACATTTCCCAAATTGGGATCAATAAAGTACCATCTTATCTTATCTTATTTAGAGAATTAAGGGTTTTTCTTACCTTAAGAGACAGACCATGCATAAAACAAAAAACAAAGTGTGCCACTTTTATTAGTTGTGAAGTGCAGTGTAAACAAGTTTAACTGACATTTATGAATACTTACAATTTCAATAGCATGATACGAAAGTTAAGTACAGTACATAATAAATCCTATATCTAATATTCCTTTTATTTATATATTGGATAAAAAAGGTGTTTAGATTATCTTAAAAAATGATCTGTTAAAAAATGTGTATAGACAACATGTTTTATAAATGGTACAACAATGAAAAACATTATATAAAGCATACAGGTTCCTAAATGGGGTTTTAAAATGTTTATATACTCCATGACATAATGCGTCTCGTCCCTTTTGAGGGCAGTATTGAATCATTGTAAAAAGGATGAAAGTGATACCTGAGATGAGAACTGAAAAGAAAGTAAAAAAAGAAAGTCACACCAAATTTCCCTTGCTTGTCTGTCAAGCCTTTAACGTGTGTTTATCTCAAGCCTCCTGCTGTGTGTCCCTCTCTCCTTCAGCACAATTAATCTCACTATGTATTTCCTCATAGCCTCTAGCTGTCCTAACCCCAGACAGCCTCCTCCTTTTCCTCACAAGAACAACTGCCACTATCCCCAGCACCATCATACCAATCACCCCAAAGACTATCCCTGCCTTTTCACCACTAGACACCTGATTCAATTCTGGATTAAATTTCAGAACAAATTCTTTGATTTCCTCTGTGTTGGCCAGTTTCCACGCCTTAGTCTTCCCTACTCTGACCCAGCTCTTCTCTCCTTCAGTCATGACCATAACTGTGTTGGTTGCCTGCATGCTGACAAGTGGAGGTTTGGTGAAAGGAGGCAGACGGACCGGAAGCAGCTCCCCACCTGTAAACAGGCCTGACTGGACACAGTAAAGAATCTCGCAGCCGTCGCTCACTGATGCGAGGTGCTGGCTGAACTTAGGAGGGCAGCGATGTTGACCCCCTGCCAGCGGGTTGTTTGACTGACAACTGAAGAGACCTCCGAATGGCACGGAGTGGCTGGTGCCAGTTTCATATTCATGACTCACACAGATCACTTGGCCATCCGAGAGAACATTTAATGGGATGAAGTTTGGGGGGCAGCTTTTGGCTTTGGTGAGGGGGTTCAGGAGAGAAGGGCTATATATGCCTCCAAACAGATACCCTGAGTTTTCTGGGGCCTTCCCGCTAACAGAGCACCAGTAAGTGTTGATGCGAGCAGAGCGAACGTGGTAATTGTCCTGACAAACTTGCTGATGGCAAGTCAAAACCAACCAACATCTATGGCTTTGGTCATAGCAATCGTAGGTCTTGTAATCCTGCTGTTTAACTTCTGATCTCAGTAAGGTGGCCGTGTAAGGTGAACGACAGGAGAAATCCCCTGTGTCAGGGTTTTTATGGGCCAGGGCATCACATAGTGGACCTGCGTCTGAGCTGAGATGAACACACTCTTGGTAGACACCTCCAAAACTGAGGTTTGTAGCAGGGCCCTCACATGATGCATCATCAATGTTGGCTTGGAAGTTAAAGTTCTTAGAGTTAACGTCGACGCACCCGGGCCGTGTGTTGACCTTGAAGTATCGCTCTACGGCCTGACTCACTGCAATGGCCACTTTACCAACTGTAGGCTGAGGCAGATCAGGGAAGGTGTTGGTGTTTATAAAGTAGTGTAAGGGGAATCCAGACCGATCAATAGCAACCAGGTTGTTCCTGGTACTTTCCTGCCACTTCTGCAGAGTGATGCCAGGATAGAAAGGTATGCCGCCACCATGGCTTTGGATAAGAGAGTACTGAATATTGGACTGATAAGTTTGAAGTGAAGAGCTTTGCTGGGTATTTTGGCTGCTTATGTCAAATTTGAGTTTGTCAAAAAAGTTTAAGCCCGCCTGCGCTTTGACAGAGGAACCTTCGGACAAATTGTCTGACACGTATGAAGAACTGAGGTAGTCTTCCTGCACCAAAGTGGCCCCAGCGTCAACACTAGTGATAACATGGGTCCCATAGTCCAACACCATCCTCTCTGAGAGGTAGTCTGCGTTTCTTGTTTGGTTGTTTTCAATTGCATCGGCTATTTCTTTGGCTTGTTGAGCAAAACGTGCATCCAGAGTGAAGTCAGGATAAACCTTTACTGTGTAGATGAAGTTACGAACCTTTGAAGAAAAAGACAACATGTTAAGTTGGTATTTATTTCAACTTATTAAATTACTATTCATATTTTTGAGGGGTAACATTTGTAAAAATCTGTCCAGAACTACAGTTGAAAAAATAGCCATCTGTCTCACACTTTCAGATTTTAAGTAATGTTTTAAAAAAAAGAAATTCTATGATGGTGAAATAATTTTTATATCTGTTTCATTCACAACTGCCGCTGTAACATCTAGTGCTTTTTATTCAACTAATGACGATAGAAACTTACTTGCACTCTGGTTGTTGTTGAAGAATCTTTGACCTGGTGGGTTTTCATCCTTTGGTTCTCTTTTGAGAATTTTCCATTTAGCGCAGATAGGAAAGATATGTCCGCATTAATGCTGTGAGATGTAGAGCTCTTCTGCTCCAGCCAGGAGTTGATGATCTCTGAGCTGGTCTCCACACCCGTCTCCTTGTAGGGGATGACAAACACCTCATCTGGGATTAGGTAGAGCCCGTCCTCTGTGGTTTGGCACTGGAAGTAGCTGATGTTCATGACTCGACCTGTATCCATGTTTCGGAGATTGTCCCAGCCTCCGCCCGGCAGCACCTCCAGTGCTGGGACAGAGAGGTTGGTGGTGGCACGGCATTCTCTGAGCCAGTTGGTGGGGCGGCCGATGGGGACAGCAGAGCAGACCTGAAGGAGAGAGAGAGCCAGGAGGCTCGTTGTTACCTTCATGGTGACTGTGTCCTAACGGATCAGACAACTGACTATAAGGTACAGCCAGGTTCCTCCTCTCTGACACCCTTTATCACATGACAAACAGGAACTTTGGTTTAAAAACTGATGGGGAGGGGGCTGGCTTTACTTTCGTTTGCAGGTCTGCTTTAAAAAATTCGCTTTTTAATAGAAAATAGCCAAAATGTTATAAAAACTGAATACTCTTCTTACATTTTTACCAAGCTTATTCTCTTTCCCAGTAAAGTAACTTTCCGTATAAAAAACATTTTAAAATTCACAACAGTATTCGGCTTTCAAGGTTATCTTATTTTCTTTACAGAGTTCCTCTTTTTAAATGGACCAAAAAGGAGATATGAGAACAAAAATTAAAAGGAAGTGGCAATGTTTTTTGACATGTTTGTCACATGAGGGTACATCACTGGAAATGTCCTTAGAATTTCCAAGTCTGAGTCACAAGTCTGAGCCTAGGTTAAAAGGAAAAACAGTACATAGGAATAAACCAAACATCAGATAACAATAAATGCACTATTCATTTGAAGCAATATTAGTAAAAAAAAAGAAGATTCTGTTCTATATTAAGTAGGAAACTTCACTATTTTCTAAATGTCTTTAATATTGGCCTAATATGTGACATGTTATAAATCAATGTCACACTTCTGTGACACAACCCCTACCACGCACCACCTCTGGAAATTCACGTTTGTCAGGATCGTTCTGTGTTTTGTTTTGTCTTGTCTTTTTCTATCTTTGGTTTCCTGTTTTATTTTTTAAAAGTGTTCACCCCCTGTCTTGCCTGTTGCTTTCTGTCTGATTACCCGATTGTGTTCACCTTGTGCCCCTGTGTTTTCTCCTCCCTCCTCACCTGTCTCTTGGTTCAGGGATTTAAGTTCTGGTCTTTCTGTCTATCATTGTTAGTTCAAACCGGAGAGACGTGATGTAAGAATTACATATTTATTGTTTACACGTCATATGAATGAAATGATTGCCACGATAATACAACAGGAGAATGTAATGGTGTTTGGCGAGTAGGCCCCGGTTTGCAGGATAATCATTCAGGAGGGAAAGAACCGCTCCGATGAAATCCCCGGGGTCTAGACACTGGTGGTGGTGATGAGTAGGTGAGACCGGTCTGAAGGAGGAAGGTTTAGCTTTGTCCTGAAGGAGACGGGAGGCGAGAGGGGTGGAGGCGGGTTGCGTGTGATCATCTGCAATGACAACTGACAGGGAGGAAGAGCAGGCATTTAAGGAATTTAGCATGTGCAGCGATTGGCTGCTGAGGGGTGACGCCCTCGTATTTAATGAGGGGGGAAGGGAGCCATAGAGTGACGTGTAAGTGACTCGTGTTAGGTCTTCCTTATTGAACTTGCGCTAAAGCTTTCATTTCCTTGTTTGTCTTGACTGTGTTCACGGGGAAGTGTTCTGTTTGTTCTAGTTAACCTTTAAATAAAGGTATTATCTGTGAAATCTGCATTTGGGTCCTGCCTGCTTCACTCACCCTGACAATGTTAAGACTAAGAGGAATACAAAACAAAATAAACTACACTATATATAAAAAATTACTCTTGGCAGTGAAAAAATGATTACAAATATTAAAATACCAATGCAAGTCAAATGTAAGAGATCCTGTTTTAAAACGTGTTTACATGACATTTGTATTAGTACGTAATAATTATTTGTTGTGTACTACACAGTTTATTATCCTACTGCTTTGATGTTTTCAATTGAGAGCAAATTTATATTTATTATAGAAATAAAAATAGAAGTGGTTACCTGTTACAAATACCTTGGTATCTGGCTTGATGATTATCTCACTTTTAAACGTCATGTCAATAACCTGCTTAAAAAGCTGAGGGTTAGGCTAGGTTTCTTTTTCAGAAACAAGTCCTGTTTCTCACTTGAGGCCAGGAAAAGGCTAGTCACTGTGACCTTTTTACCTGTGCTGGACTATGGTGATTTGATTTATATGAATGCACCTGCCCATTGCCTGGTTAAGTTAGATGCTGCGTATCACAGCGCACTGAGATTTGTGACAAACTGTAAAGCATTAACCCCATCACTGTACCCTGTATGCAAGGGCTGGTTTGCCTTCGCTAACTGTACGGAGGCTCAGTCACTGGTACATTTTTATATATAAAGCCATGTTAGGGAAACTTCCATCCTACATCTGCTCCCTGATCTCACGGCGAATTGTAAGTGGCTACTGCCTGAGATCGCATGCTGTAGTTTTATTAAATGTGCCAACTGCTAGGACTGTCTTAGGGTCCGGGAAGATAGCTTTTAGATGCGCAGCTCCTCTGTCTTGGAATAGTCTGCAATTGAAATGGAAACTAAGCAATCTGGTGCCACTAAATGTTTTTAAAGCTCGGTTGGATGCTACTCAATCGGAAGATGTTGGTACCTGCTCATGTGGATAGTTATTGTAAATTGTAATCCCTGTAATGATGCTTGTAAAATTTCCTTTTTGTTGTTCGGTTTATGTTTTATGTTTCATGTGGAACCTACTTGAGCAGGTCTCCCTTGAAAAAGAGATCAATGATCTCAATGGTATACACCTGGATAAATAAAGGTTTGAAATGAAATGAAATATTTTAGTGTTCATAATAGCCAAACTCATTATGTGCTCGTTTAGATAATCAGTGTTTTTCTATTAATCATCTTCAAAACATTTTCATGTTTCAACCTTAATTTCTATGTGTGTATATAATATATATATCGCACAATATCATTTAATTTGACGGATTCTGTACTGATTTTTTCAGATGTTCTATACGGTTACCACATTCTTCTTGTTACAGTAAGTATAACACTAATGAAAACTGACCTGAGGTGAACCTTGCCAGGCCTTCCCTGCTTCCTCTGCAGAGAATACATTATTACTGAGTCTGACCAGTAGATGGCAACACAAGCCATAAAGCTGCTCAACTCTACAGCTGTGCGGTTACCACATTGCACACAACATGTATTACACTTGATCTACTACTTCATCAGTACTTTATATCAAAACGGCAATGAGTTGTGTACTTTTTATTTGTTTGACTCATTAGCTGAACACCATCCATCTGCTAATCTGTAATTGTCCTCATTAGGCCCAACTCAATCAAAGAGAGTAATCCAGGGGCGGACTGGCCATTGGGAATACCGGGAGTTTCCCCGGTGGGCCGGTGCTGTGTGTGGGCCGGAGGGCCAAAAAAAAAAAAAGTCCTTTTTTTTGCCTAAATGCTACCGGCCCACATTTGTAAGTGTTCCGGCCCAGCCCAGCCCAGCCCAGTGGGGTGTGGCCAGGGTTGGGTTGTAACGGAATACATGTAACGGTGATCAGAATACAAAAATCAAGTAACTGTATTCAGCTCGCGTTACATTTGAAAAACGAGTAATATGATTACAGTTACTTTCGTAAACCTGAAGTGAATACATTTTGGATTACTTATTGGAATTATTGGTGGAAAGATTTCCTCACAACATTTAATATTCATTACTAAAGGTACAGCCGAATCATCACAGTGCACAAAACCGCGCAGATGGACCAAAAAGGGGAGCGTTTGAAAAAAATGTGCGGGTCCGCTCAGTGAAACGATAACAACGTAACATGGAGGAACAAAAGTCTGCGTTTAAATCGTGTGTGTGTGTGTGTGTGTGTGTTTATAGAGGTGTGTGTGGTTAAAACACATCAGCCACACCGCTCTTTAGCCTTTCTAATGATTCTGAAGGTAAACACAGTGAAGGCGGTGCGTGAAAGGCACTGCGCGCTCCTCTTCTCAGAGGCTGAGTTAACCCTCCCGCTGCCTCCTGGTGCTGCAGAGATTTCATGAAGTGAAGGAGGTTTTCCTTCTATAAAACAGCTGCGGGCAGCAGATACTGTGAGAGCCACAGACATGAATACATAGATCAAGGCAGACTGGTGCACACACTCTCCTGTTTTGCCAATCCGGTGCTTAAACAAATATAGCTCTACACCCCTGGCCGAAATGTCCTTAAAATGAAGTCCGAGTTCGACATTTTAATTCATGTCATGCCAACACTGGCAGGACAGAAGGCGACACGCCCTTTCTAAGCCATGTCCTCACATCCCAAGCTGCATCCCCAAAAAGTTCATTATGTTGTTACAACAGGGTTCAGGGGGAGTGGCTGTACCCGTAGGCTAGAAAAGGGGGAAGTGACGTCTGACTCAGAGGTCGCGTGGCTGTGGAGAAGAACGTGTTGCCCACATTCTGTTACTGAGTTTAGGCTAGTTAGCTATCAGGTTTATTGTTTTGGGTGCAGTCACTTTTGCCTCCACTTGCTGTTCAAATAAATGTTGAAGGAAAAAGTTAATTTGTTTACAGTTCTGTTTTATATGGAAGAAGACGAAGAAGAAGAAGAAGAAGATTTTTAAAACAAATTGTATTTGCATTTGTTTTAAACATACACCCACCCTGCAAAAGAGTCGGAACAAAACTAATACATTACACAATCAAATAAATAAATAAACAGATTTTTATGACTACTAAATAAATATCATTTGAAAACCCCATTTGAAAGCGTTTTACCCATTTAAAAACATCCTCTTTTACACACTTTAAAAACAAAAACTACACCTATCCTTTAAAACTTCAATATTAGAGAGTCATTCTCCTCCAGCGAGCACAGAACCTGCCCAACAGCCCACACATCCAGAAACCCCTGCAGATGATTGATCAGCGTATAGTACGCATGCTCCACCCTCAGACGCGCTGCCACCAACCCCCTCAGACAGAGCACTGCATCCGTCCATTCCACTCCAGCAAGTTGGTTCTTCCTACTTTTTCAGATTGCTAATTTTGCATTAGCAAACAAGAAATTCATCAATAGTAGGGTTTCTTTCTTTTTCAGGATGTATTTGGGGCCATGGACAAAAAGTGGTATGGAGAAAACCTCCCCGAACCCTTCCACCCACCCCTGTAACATGTTTTTAAGACCAGCCAATCGGGGACAGGACACGACTAAATGCTCCAATGTTTCTGCCATAAAACAGAACGGACAGCCTCCCCTTGTGCCTGGGTCAAAATGAGCTCTGTATTTGTTAGTGGCTATTGCACCGTGTATAATTCTCCATTGGATGTCAGCCATCCTTTTCTCAACCGGAGATTTATACAGGATCCGCCAGCTGCCCTGAGGGGAAGAGCCCAAGCCAAACACATCCGTCCACCTCGACTCTCTGACGCCTGCGAGCGAGCTGAGGTTTAACACCTTTACACAGCTAAGGTATAGCTTCTTCCCATTGCAGGAGGTGAAATTTGCAGGTGTTAGAGTCCCCAGTGATAGCAGGAGACCATCCTCCTCTCTCCATTCCCCCACCGCAGGACCCACACTCAAGGCAGGAAAAACATAATCATGTCCCTTTCTCCACTGGTCAGCCAGATCTGCATCCAGAGCAAAAGTCCGGTGGGATGGCGACAGCGACTGCCACACCTCATCTACCAAGTTCTCCAGAACTCGGGTTGATCGAATGCCCGTCACCTCAGCCAGTTTTTCTGTGGAGACCCCCGTCAAATGGCCAAGTTTTACCACTCCCGCTTCAATGAACGCATTTTTTAGGGTGGCTGAAGAGAAAAGGGTTCCAGAAAGAAAACCAGTGTCAAACAGTGGTTCCTCAAACAGCCACATCCCAGGCCGGGGGTCAGGTGGTCTGGTAAAACTCAGAATCTTCCAGGCATTGATGACTGAGCAGTAAAAAGGTGTAAGTCCAGTTATCTTGTACGCAGGGTCCTTCAGCAGAAACAGGTGTTTATCAAAACCAAAGCCCCCTGCCCTCCAGAGCAACAGCCTGGCCATAGCCAGCCAGCAGGGAGAGGCACCATACAGCAGCCGCTGAGCTGCCTGCAGTCTAAAAGCAGCAGTCCTTGCAGTAATGTCCACGAGGCCCTGGCCCCCCCTCCGCCACAGGCAGGTACAGGACCGATGCTGGCACCCAGTGATGACCCGACCAGAAGAAATCCACGAGGAGCCGCTGCAGTTGTTTCATGAGGCCCGGCGGTGGGGTTAACACCTGGAGTCTGTGCCACAGAGACGAGGCAACCAGATTGTTGGCTACAAGAACTCTTCCCCTGTAGGACAGCTGGGGTAGCAGCCATTTCCATTTGGCTAATTTTGCTTGCACCTTTCCCAGCAATCCCTCCCAGTTCTGTGCCACCATGTCCTCAGACCCCAACCAAACTCCCAGGACCTTTAAACCCTTGTTTCTCCAGCTACGGTTACCAGGAAGACTGGGCCTATTTTCTAGACTCCACCGACCTACCAAAACTGCCTCACTCTTCTCCCAATTAACTTTGGCTGAAGCAGCCTTCCTATACAAAGCTAAACTGTCCTGTAGCTCCTGGATATCTCGCTGACCCTGGACAAAAACACTGACATCATCAGCATAAGCTGATACAACCACCGGGGGGGCCTGAGCTGACTCTGGCAGACACAGGCCCCTCAGCCGGTTTCTAAGTCTGCACAAAAGCGGCTCGATGGCAATACTATATAATAGGCCTGAGATAGGGCAGCCCTGCCTGATCCCCCTTTTAACTGGTACAGGTCTGCTCAGCCCTCCCCCCACCTTCACAACACAACATGCATCACTGTACAAACACTTCACCCAGGACAAAAAATGCTCCCCAACACCAAAAGCCTGCAATGTGGCAGCCAGAAACGTGTGATCCACACGATCAAACGCCTTCTCCTCCTATTATACAATTTGTAAACATCAAAAGTGTCTCTCATCAAAAACAAATTGTCCACAATTGATCTGCCAGGGATACAATATGTCTGATCAGTACCGATAAGAAGTTCAATAAAACACTTCAGTCTGTTTGCTAAGACCTTTGACAGTATCTTATAGTCCGTACATAAGAGAGCCACAGGTCTCCAGTTCTTAAGCAGGGTTAGATCTCCTTTCTTAGGCAACAGTGAAATCACTGCACGCCTACAGGAAGCTGGAAGAGTCCCTTTCCCAAAGGACTCCATCAATACTTCTAGCAAGTCATGTACCAGAATACTCCAGAAATGTTTAAAAAAGTCTGCAGGTAAACCGTCTATGCCCGGAGCCTTGCCGGAGGCCATCTGTGTCACCGCAGAGGTCAATTCCTCCAGCGTAATGTCAGAGCCCAGGGTGTCACTTTCGGCTGGACTCAGCTGTGGAAGACCCTGAAGAAGTTCATCAGCAGCTTCCACGTCACAACCTTCGGCTTTGAACAGGTCTGTGTAGAAGGACACTGCATGCCTCCTCATCTCAGCAGGTTCAGAGGTTACCTGTCTATCGGGGAGACGCAGACATACCATCTGCTTCCTTTGGCCCACAGACCTCTCCAGGTTGAAGAAAAAGGTGGTTGGTGCATCAATGTCTCTCATGGAAGTAAAACGGGCTCTGATCAGAGCTCCCTTGGCCTTCTCCTGAAGAAAACAGTTAAGCTGTTGTTGTTTTAGGAGGGACTGTTCTATATTTCGAGCAGACACACTATCTAACTCCTCTATAGCTCTCCTAATGTTTGCAGTGGAGTAGGCTGTATACTGTTGGCAGAACACTCTAATCTGAGCCTTTCCTACCTCCCATCACTGACTCAGGGAGGGAAAAGACTCTTTCTTTGATTTCCAGTTGATCCAAAATAATTTAAAATTCTCACAAAAAGTCAAATCTTGTAACATTTTAACATTAAACTGCCAGAACGATCTAGGTTTCTCTGTGTTGGATACAACCAAATCTAAAGAAACTAGCTGATGGTCTGTAAAACCAACAGGTTGGATGTGACAGTTCACTGCACGAGTAATAGAAGAAGCAGACATGTAAAATCTGTCTAGCCTGGCTGCACTGACGCCCCCATCTAGCATTCTCATCCAGGTGTATTGTTTAACAGAGGGGTGCTTCGTCCTCCACACATCCACTAAGTCAGCCTCTCTTATCACCTGTGACAGTAAAAGGGACGACTGAGGATGCGGCTCCTGTCCTATTCTGTCTAAAGTGACATTAGTGCAAGCGTTCCAGTCCCCCCCCCCAAGTATAACACACTCCCCCTGTACACTAGTGTCTAGCTTGTCTTTTAATAACTGAAACACAGATACACGTGCAGGGCCCTGATTGGGTGCATAGACATTAATAAAAGTGAAAAAGAACTCTAACAGTTCCACTTTCACCATCAAGGCTCTACCTGCCACTATCTCTGTGCTGGATAAAATCTTAACATTTAGAGAGGGGGAGAAAAAAACAGCTACTCCAGCACTAAGGTTTGAGCCATGACTGAGTACATACTGACCCCCCCACCACATTCCCCAGTCCGTCTTCATTCAGGCTATCACTGTGCGTTTCCTGCAGAAATATCACATCTAATTTTTTCTGATTAAAGACCTCCAACACTAAAGCTCTTTTCTGTGCACTTCTACCCCCGTTAATGTTTAAAGAAGCAACCCTTAAAGCCTGCATTAGAGGAAGGAGATAGAGAAAAAGAACAGACAGGTACACACAGCAGAGAGGAGACACCCAGTGTTGCATGATCATTTTGAAACTATTTAGACCTTTTCAGTTTCCCCCCTTTTTTGCTTCCTTTCGTAACTTTTTTCATAGTAGTTACATGCTTCCTGAGACGATAGCCTCTCTTTACCCTCTAACCCTACAACTTTCAGAAGAGTGCTCACTGCTCACTGTATGAAGAAACTTGTTAGTGTCAGGGAAAAAGTCTCTCACTTCCACTGCCTTGCCAAAGGACTCATCTAAAAATACATTAATCTCTTCCAAAGAATATATCTCTGCATTCTGAGAGAGACTATCTGCAACTGAAACACAGTCAGAATCCCCCTCACCGTCTGTGTCCATCTCTGTCACCTCATTATTGTCTGCAGCCTGTTGAAGCTCTTTTTGCCTCCCAGAACCAGACGGCAGCTCCTGCTGTGTGCCAACAGCCTCTACCTGTCCCACAGCCCCGGTCCTCACCTGTCCTGCTACATCATCTCCCACCCGTTTACCTGTTTCCACATTTGTTCCTCTCACACTCACCACACTCTCTACAATCCCTGTTTCATCTCTCACGATATTCATCCCTACTTCATCCGCAGCCCCTGGGGCCCCGGCGGGTGCAACAGCAGCCCCCCGCGACACCGGCCTCCGCGGCCGCCGACCCAGCGGCCCCAGCGACCGGCTCGGCTGCCCCGGGCTCGGCTGCCCCGGGCTCGGCTGCCCGGGCTCGGCGGCCCCGGGCTCGGCGGCCCCGGGCTCGGCGGCCCCGGGCTCGGCGGCCCCGGGCTCGGCGGCCCCGGGCTCGGCGGCCCCGATCTCGGCGGCCCCGGGCTCGGCGGCCCCGGGCTCGGCGGCCCCGGGCTCGGCGGCCCCGGGCTCAGCCGCCCCGGGCTCAGCCGCCCCGGGCTCAGCCGCACCCGGCGGAGCGGCGTGCCGTCTCTGTGGACATGCAACACGTTTGTGACCCGACTCTCCGCACTCAAAACACTTTACGTTCCCTGAGCTCGCATACACCATATAAAAACCCTCTTCGTGCCTCACCCGGAAAGACACATCTAGTGTCTGAGTGGGACAATTCAGAAACATGAACACCTGTCTCCGCAGAGATTGGACATGTTTTAGCTTTTCATCCTTACACCCCAGAGCAACAGTGCGGAGAGTACTAGCAAACTTACCGAAACGCTTCAGCTCCCGTTCCAGCGCCTCATTCGGGATGAATGGAGGAACGCCAGACACAGTGATCCGCGTGGACGGTGTGACTTGAATATATTCCTCGTTTACCATTAATCCGCTCTCAATAAATTCCGTCACATATTTCTGGTCTTTCAAAAAGACCACGACCGCTTTGTTCATGCGGGAAGCATAGGAGATGTTTACATGACCGACCTGCTCCCCCACAGCCAGCAGCACCTGCTACACTGTGCTTGCGGCCTGAGCCACCAAACGCACTCCGTGTCTCAGAGACACCGGCGGCGCCCCGAAGGACGCCATCCCCGCCACGAGGCACGGAAAAACACTCACGAAAAAGTATTAACCGTACTTGCAAAGAGTACAAATATCCCCACGTAAGATCATACAGTTAAAGAAACGATTGAAACGGAAACAAACGAAATACAAGTGAAAATCCCTCTTCCCTCTTCAAAAACACACCTCCACCACAGAAGAAGAAGAAGAAGAATTAGTGATGTGTCGGTCGCGAACGAGCCGGTTCAAAGAGCCGGCTCTTTTAAGTGAACGACGGGAGCCGGCTCTCGCCCGCGAACGAGCCGTTTTTTGTTGTTGCGGAGGGATCTAAATCGGCATGAAGTCACATTATGCAATGTGCACATTATCCCGCTTATTACATGGCCACATTCTCAACAAAGTAACGACATGACTCCCAATATTAATTGAAATGCTTTTATGGATTTAGAAAATGATTTTATTGATTTAAAAAATAGTTGTATGTATTTATTTAAATTGACATGCATCCGCTAAGAAAAGCAGTCCGTTGTTACTGTTTGAACTAACGTAGCAACGGCAGGAACTGCTTCGATAGTGTTTTTGAGGAGCTTTTTGATTACAGATTTGAAAACATCGTTGCTTGCTTTAAAAGTAGCACAATTCATGATGTCAAACCTTGGAAAGTATCTAGATATCCCTGCCCTAATATGCCAAAGTAACTGGCAACTGAATATGTGTCGCCGTTTGATGTCTATGTCTGGGCCGCTGCGTAAAAAGGAGGGTTTCTGCCCCGTTACTTCTCTTCTTACTTCTATAAGAATAAAACACGGAGGAGGGAGATCTCTTTTTCTCCCCCTCTTCTGAGAGCCCATCAGCTGATCTCAGAGCACGCTCCCCTCTCCTGCAGGGGGGCGTGGTTGGTTTCTATAGCTAATAGTTACTGAAATAGAGCCCTGCTGTTTTGTCAGGGCCTTTTCTTTAAATATAATTTTAAAATGTCGATACAGTAGCCCCTTTTTTAAAATAGCCTAGTTTTTATAGGTGTTGCTATCTGTTTTGTGTAGCGTGGTTCTACAAGCAAGTCAGTGCATTCATTGGGTGGTATCAGAGAGTTACAAGGGTCTGTAAATGCAATGAAAACATTTGGCCACAGTAAATCATTTAAATTAAACATGTAATTTTCACTTTTGAATACTTCAGTACAAAGGATGTATTGAATAATTTAAGTGATATATGTGTACACATATACATCATTAATTAGTCAAAACAGGGCTACATTTGATTTAATTAAAAGGTATAATATGTGGTAAACTGAAGAGCCGTTTGGGAGCCGAAAGAGCCGGCTCTTCTTGGTGAGCCGAGCCAAAAGATCCGGCTCACCAAGAAGAGCCGGAATTCCCATCACTAAGAAGAATAGCTTGGTTTCAGTCACGTGACTTCTATGACGCGCGAAATTCAAGTAAAGGTCAGGAAGTGAAAACGCAATCATTCATCAACGCAGGAATCATGGAGGACACCGACTATGTCAAACAATTAAATGAACCTGCACGCCGCAGATATCGTGAAAAAATCACAGCACACATCGGATACGATCCGTATCAGCTGAAAAAAAACGACTTTTCTCGTGATTTATCCGATTTGCCCGCTGTCCAGGCGATGGATATCACCCGCTACCTCGTCCTTCATACCTCCTACTACACGGCTAGCCAGATGAAAGCGTATAAAAGCCTGGAAGCTTTCAACTACTTCGTGTGTGGATGGGTGAATGACCTCGGCACCAAAGAGGCATTAAACAAATGTCGCCTTGTTTTTGCCCGGGTGAGTGTTAACTACCTATACCTTCTTACCTCTAAGTAGCATTATTAGGAGACATCTAGCTAGCTAACTTTAGCTACATGGACTCATGTAAGGCAGTGTTACGGCTGTTGCCTTGCCTTCAGCATTAACTGGCCTGTGAGTGTGTTGTGTGTTTATATGTATGTTTGTTATGTGTTTAGCTTAGGATATATTGTGTTTTGTGTGTATAGACAGCTCAGAGCCTTTGAACAGCCTGCACGTTGTTTATATCACTCTATGTTGAGGTTAATATTAAAAACAACCTCTTTACCAAGACCATCTGGTTATGTGTTGCTTGTGATGTTGTTAAATGTATGTTACCAACTCGCAAGTTGTGAACTGGAGCTTCAATTGTGTAGGTCCACCATTCCCAGAGGTCTGGAGAAACACCATTTAAAAACGTGGATTGTAGCTAAAGAAGATGGAGAGGTTGTTACAGCACACTGTAACTGTATGGCTGGGTAAGTCATAAAATAAATATCCCAACCCAAAGCATATTTGACACAACACTTAAGCTCAGACAAAATAATGCCTGCTATAATATTCATGTTATACCATTACTAGCTTTTACGATCAATCTAGTTATTCTAGTATGTCTCTGTCTATACAGTTTGTCAGAATCCTGCTCACATGTTGGAGCAGTTCTGTTTGCAATCGAAGCAGGTGTGAAGATGAGAGAGACTGCATCCTGCACCACTGAGAAGTGCAAGTGGCTAATGCCATCACATGTCAAAAAGGTATTCAGACCCCAGTGGTCAGTCAGCTGTTCATGCAGTCCTTGCCTGTCTCATTGTTACACTGCACCTACATGTATGTTCACATACATGTTGGTCTGTCTCTCACATGTGCAGATTCCTGCTGCTCCAGTTGCGATGATAGACTTTTCATCCGCAAAATCCAAAAAGCAAAAACTGGATGATGCCATTGCTGGAAGGACAGGTGAGAAGCACACATTTCAGCGTCCCACAGTCCAGGGTTCAAAATTGGAGCGAGGATCAGAGAGGTATATGCAGTTTTTCAAGACTTTGAGCAGAAATTCCCCAAGAAGTGCTGCACTGATGTCCAGGGAACCATATTACAGAGAATTTGTCCCTAAATCTGTGAGCAAGCTACCTAAACCACTACCTCAGTATGGAACACCAGAGATGCTACAGCTATCCCCAACAGAGTTGCAGAATGCATGCCAGGACTTCAGACAGGAAGAGCTGACACAGCCACAGGTCCAGGCAGTAGAGGAGGAGACCAGAAACCAGAGCTTATCAGCAATATGGTTTAGCCAAAGAGCAGGAAGGATCACAGTCTCAAGACTGAAGAAGGTTCTACAGACTAGTCTTGCACAGCCATCAAAGTCCTTGATCAAGTCCATATGCTACCCAGAGGCATACAAGTTCTCTACAGCTGCAACAAGGTATTTATTAGGGATTAGGGAGCCAATCAGAAAAGCAAACTGTATACAGTTTTTCTCAGACGCGGAGGGATACTGACTTGTTGTGAAAAGTAACTTACAATTCTACCCGTGGTATACGCTGATTAGATCACGTATATCAGTAAGTTACAGTACAAGTAACTTATAACTAAATTCATTATCATTACAAAACAGGATTCACAAAATAGTCAATGCATAAAAATACTGTGTGTGTGTGTGTGTGTGTGTGTGTGTGTGTGTGTGTGTGTGTGTGTGTGTGTGTGTGTGTGTGTGTGTGTGTGTGTGTGTGTGTGTGTGTGTGTGTGTGTGTGTGTGTGTGTGTGGGTGGATGCAAATACGAGGCAACTGCCCGAAAGCAGTATGAAGGAGTACAAAGTCTGCACCACCAGGGTTTCAGCTGTAAAGACAGCGGGCTTTGGCTGAACCCTCAATGGCCATACATAGGAGCGTCGCCAGACGGATGTGTCACGTGCACCTGCCATGGAACTGGTATCTGTGAGATAAAGGTAAGTTATTTGTTCAGTATTGTGCTACAGTAAAGCGGGTAAGTATAGGATTGTGACGTGATCCTGAGTCTGGGGATCCTCTCCCAATACATTTTGAGCTGCAGACACTTATTTACAGTACAATATATTACTTTTCTTTTCATTATACTTTTTGTGCCCACACAGCAAACAAGAGGAGGCCAATATTCGCCTGTGTGCTGGAGAACAGGGCTTCTGTCTCGTCAACGATGGGGGCACTGTGAAGCTGGACAGGAGACATGCCTACTACCATCAAATACAGGCTCAGCTCCACCTCGTTGATGTTGACTACTGCGACTTTGTTGTCTGGACTAAAAATGACCTCTTTGTAGAGATAATTGTGCGTGATGTGGACCTGTGGGACAACATCATTCCCAGAGTTGAGCGTTTCTTCAGACTATGTGTTCTCCCTGAAGTGTTGGGACAGCAACTTACAAGGGGAAAGGTAAAAGTCATAAAGAGTTGGTGTGCTCATTTTTTTCCACAAGAACATGTTAGTGCATAACTATCAGGTGACTAAAAGCCTCCTCTCCCTGTCTGCTGTTCCATTTTTCAGTTTCAGTTGCAAGATGATCAGGAGGGAGAGAAGGCGTGATTACCAGCACCTGTGGTCTGTCCTGGTCCCGGAAGTTGTGGTTCTCTCCTTGTTGCATTATTATTACGTGCCGTAGTGGGTGCTGGTGTTTGGGTGTGTGTGGGTGTCTTTTTCTCTCTCCCTCTGATCTCCCCAGGTGCTCCCAATCTCCAATCAGCGCCTCCATATAGGACATGAGGAAGGTTGCAGTTGCTCTCCCCTTATCTTAAGCTTTGTTTGACAAGTTGGCTGGTGAGCCCTTTTTCGTTGTGTTAATTAAAAGACCACTTTATGGCGTCAGAGATCAGTTTCCTCTCCTTTTTCTCTCGGCCGGTTATGTTGTGTGTCGCTACTTCCCTTTGTACCCCTATATTTACAAGGGAACGTAACATTTGCACAGTGGCAGCTCTTTAACCTGCATTACAGCACCTTCATATTCACTGACCACACTCACTAGAGGAAGTA